GCCAGTCGTCGTCACGGCCATCGTCTTGTTCCCGTTTCTCCTCTACATCATCTTTGCAGACAAGAAGCTCATCCCCGAGTCCATTGAGATGTTTCAACCGCCAGAGGAGGCCATGCAATCGAAGCCCGTCAACCCCAACATCCCGAACCCCAGAGGAGCCGCAAGCAATGCCGATCAAGCGCCCGAGAGCAGTCCGCAAGCACAGTTGCTCTCAGCCATTGAGATTTTGAACCCCTGGCTTGACAAGGGAGGAGCTGCCTTTGGCGCTGTTGTCATGTCGGTGACCCTAATTACGGTCCTGGCTCTCAATGCCGCAAACGTGAAACCGAAGGATGATCAGCACCTGCAAGTCTTTTGGGTCACTTTACCGGCCGCTTTTATCATGCTATGCTGGGACCTGGCGTTCGGCTGGTCCCACAGAAAAGAGACTCGCCGCATAGCACAACAGGGACGAGAGGGACAGGATGAGGAGCTTGTCAGAGCAGAGGAAGGCATTAGAGAGAAGGTCAACGCGGGCATATTGGGCCAAGAAGACACAAGCTTGGCCCAAGAGACGACAGAGATGTCGCCAATGTCACATGCAACCAGACCAGAGATTCATATCCAAGATACCGACCTTCTGGAAGATAAGGAACGCCTCGGAGTTGCAAATGAGGAGGTTTCGCCAGCCAGCAACGATTCGAGCACGAATGCGTCGGAGCGGAACGCTACTGATGCCGAGTTCATGATTACTCCAGCAATCCCAGCATCAGGAAACAGCGACAGTGTGACCGGCAATGCAGGCCCGCAGCTCATATCTTCACAATCTACAGCTGTGGAAAGAACGGAGAAGGCCGATATTAGCAAAACCCCGAGCGAGGGTTCTACGGAAAGTAGGAGACGAGCTGTGCCAGCTGCGGCCAGTGGGCCTGGCGAAGCACAAGCGCTGCCAGATGGGGTTACGGATATTGAGAAGGGGACCACTGGAAGACAATCCCGCCGAAGCTCGAGTTTCCGCCCCAAGAAGCAACCGGCGACGCTGGTATCGCGCTTCAAGGACGGGTATCGTTGGTCACAAGAGACATTTCCCACGGTGATGGCGGTGCTATCTCATCTACCCTTCGCTCTCGTCCCTTTTGCCTTTGCCATGTTCGTCCTTGTGCAAGCTCTCGTCACCAAGGGCTGGGTGCCGGTGTTTGCGTACGGATGGGATCACTGGGTTGAGAAGACGGGAACGATTGGTGCCATTGGTGGCATGGGGTTCCTCTCGGTCATCCTCTGCAACGTGAGTATTTGCCCGTCCAGATCTGGTTTGACCAAGACGTTTTACCGCATAAAGGCTGACTTTTGAGATGATCCTTCTTTAGTTCGCGGGTACGAATATTGGCACCACAATCCTACTCTCCCGCGTGATCCAGGCGTGGCAGCAGATCCACCGAGAAAATGGCGTGCCCATCAGCGAGCGCACTTTCTGGGCGACGGTCTACAGCATGGCTCTCGGAGTCAACTACGGCGCCTTCAGCACCGCCTTCAGCGCATCGTTGGCTGGCCTGCTGTGGAGGGACATTTTGGAGAGAAAGCACATCTTTGTCAGCAGGAGGGACTTTGCAAGGGAAAACATACCCATCATCGCCATTGCCATGACGGTCGGTTGCACAGTTCTGGTTGGGGAGATTTACATTACTCGAACGGACGATGCGTATCCGCTGTGAGCTTGATATCAATCAAGCAGATGACTGAGCGAGGTTCATGAGTTGACGGCCATCATATAGAAGACTGGAGACGTTTTAGAGATCCAAAAGATACCCCCATTTGAATGGAAATGACCGTCAGTGGATAACATTCGTCTGGATGAGGCCAAGACGACGGGTATCCGTCAACGTCATCTAAAGCTGAGTGATGCTGAATGAGGGAGAGAATGAGAGCTCGCCAGACTACAGAATAACCCCAGACTGGACGGCATCACACTCCGCCACAAGCACGACATCACAAACGGGATCAATTGACTTATGACCAAAGAACAAGTCATTCGCCACACTCGGAGCGGGCATCGTGCAGCCGTCCCGTCTCGACTGCGGCATGAAGAGCGGGAGGGCTGTGTAGAGGGGGGCATGCAGACTGTTACTGAATGCATTTCCGCAGGCAGGCGAGTACCGTACGAACATTGGATTATTGCGGATGGCGTGCAGCAGGGCTGTGGCTGTGTAGTGAACATCAACCCGGGGGCTTCTGCTGCGTGATGCAACGCGGGCTTCGTCTTTTGTTTTGCCATGCATTCTGCATTCTGCGCATAGCCTATGAGGGGTTATGAAGAGATCAGGTATTGCTTCTGTTGTAAGGCCCATGGAGGATTTCTCGGTCTGCCTTGACGAGGCGCGTAGGAGTTCACCCGTTGGGCCCGGCAAAGTTGAGGGTCTTTGGCAGGCATCTTTAACTAGGGTCTCATTCACCAAGACCAACTCACTTTTGTCGAATTCGCTCATAGCGGGGGGTTGCGGAAAGAATCATGGTCAATAACCGCAAATCGCGGTTCAGCGCTTATCGCTCACTCGGGTCCTTGGTAAGGTAACATTGAGCAGAGTCGTGAAAATAGCACAGCCGCGCTGCTGTGCCGTCACCAGGTTCTCACTCACCGGCGATCCACAGTGTCGTAATGTAGACTCGCGACAATATGGTTTACCGTTTGACCGCGATTATGATCCATTTCCGGACGTCAGCGGAGGGTTGTGTGCATGTGTCTCAGTCATGATCTTCTGGTTCAGCCAGCCCCCCATTCACCAATGAGATTGCCCCGCTGCCGAGGGTCGGATTCGTGGAAGCTGTAGGTAAGCTGAGGCAGCAGGATACAGCAGCTTCACCCCTACCGACGACAACGGCTGCGGGGTTTCCCAGGTTGTGATTGATGGAGCATGGGGGAGGGAACGGCACGGGAGGAATGGGAGGATGCCTGGAGAGGGGCAGAGGGGTTCGTCGGTTCGATGGGGGACGGAAGATCAGCGTCTGTCAGCACGGGAGGGGACGGGGTTGCTTACTGCATGAGCTGGTCCGAGGAGCTCTGGGCTGTTGATTCAGTCTTTGAGTGTGAACTTGTGTAAGTCGGGTGCGTCTCTACGGCGTGGACGGGCGGGCGCATCCGGATCAAGGTCTTGGATCTTGTTTTTGGTTGAAGGCTGAGAGATGTTGTCCGGAAGAGATGAGTGGTTTCCTCAATTCCAAAGGATCTCGGCTTCAGAGGGAAAAGACGGGATGGACTCTTCAAAGTTCGACCCTGCTTTCACTGGCCAAAGCACCCGGGCGAATTGAGTTGTGGGATGAAGAGTTGAGACGCTGGAAGCATGCAGTCTTCTGCCCGAGAAGAAGGGAAATGTTTCACCCCATTGATGCAGGCAGGTCGTTGATGGTAGGCCGTGCTCTTGCTTCAGTGTGCCATGCAGCGCAGGACTCTGTTAGAGAGCTTTTCCCAAGTTCTCGCCAGTCGGGATGGTTAATGGCTCGGGTTTAGCTATGGTCATTGACTTTGACTTGGAATCTCCGAACTTCAGATAGATGCAGGGGATGATGTTTGATAATCGGGCGTTGTCTCTTCTCCCCCACCCTCCGCACAACAGGGTTGGGTTTGAATCCTTCGCGGGAAAGACGGCATGAACCGAGGCTGTTCAAGGCTCTTTTGCGAATCGAACCTCCGAAAATAATCTTGACGAAGAGAAACGCAAGATGATTTTGAGTACTGCTCTCTTATCCAGTGCCAATAGGTAGCGCAGCAGATACAGTATGACACCGTCCGCCTAGGATAGCCATTGTAGCTAAGGTATTGATGAGCAGTATACCATATTACAGTGAAGCTCAGTCCGCTCCCAAACAAGTCGAATGTCATAAAGTCAACCCGAAGAGCATCCCATCTCCTAGGATCCTCCATCCCATTCTTCTCTCGTGGGGTCCAAGTGTCTCCATCCGGAGTTCATGGGTAAGGCAGAGGGTATCCCGCGGTGCTCACACGTCCAGAATTCATCACGCTCGAACGGGGTTTGCACTTGCAGCGACTAACGTCCTCACCATTTTCGCATGCAGGAACGTACATCGACTTTCTTGCTTCTGTTTCTTACATTGACTTTCGGATTGCGGCCTTTTCCCCTTGATTTCACCAATGCAAGTATGGTTCTTATCATGGAATCCTCTTCTTCTCGCCGAGGGCCATCCCGGAGAGATCCTGCAGGCTCGCTGTTGAAGCAGTCGCCGTTTTGAAACGGCCGCGCTGCAGCGAAGGAGGTGCGTGGGAGTGATCAATGCGCCCGTTGGATGAGATATGGACAGAGTTTTTGGTTTTGTTCTTTCAACGTTTTCCTGCCAAAACAGTCTTGATAGATTCTGTTTGAACCATTTCAGCTGAAGCGAGTGAGAGAAAGGGTTAAGGTGCAAAATGGGACGATGGCTCTGAATGGGATGTTGGACCCGACTCGTAGCACTTACCACTCGAGGCTGAAAAAGCCACATATTGTGCCTCGTGCTCTTTCGTGTTACCTTAATACTTTTATTTGTTGAGTCGTTGATTGCCTCCCCGGCCCGACTTTGGCCAAGCTAATTCTTCGCATTATGTTACTGCCAAGCCGAGTCTTTTCTTTGTGTAAGTTGGGAGAGGGCGGGCTGGAAATTTCAGAAACGGTTACCGAACGTTAGGACCTGTGACAATGGGAAAGGGGGACATGAGAGAGAACAAAGGAGCCAGAGTCTAGATGCGGCGGGCAAACAATGTGAGCGTTGTACCCGGCGGTGCGGTGTTTAATCGAGGGATTGTGATTTCTTTGTTTGACTGGGTAGAAACTAATCGAGGTAGTCGCATGATTGCCCGTTTTGATGCAATCTCGCTCAATCACCAGCTTCCAGAGTGAGTGAGCGGGTTGCGTGAGTGAAGTTTTCAGTGAGTGAACTCATGAGTGAGTGAGTGACTTGCAGTAGTAGCAGCGCCTCACTAACACAACGGGGTCCGCATTCAGGTCACCACCGACAGGGTGTGTGTCCAGGATCTACACCAAGTATCCGTACAGCTGCAGATGGTGGTGTTCCAGCTCCGCCCCGCGGGTCCTTCGCCTTTCCGCCATGGCGCCCGCGAACGAGCGAAGAAGCTTCTCCAGCGTGTGTGTTCGTCCACGGAGTCCAGCTCGGCCCACGAAGCACACCACGCCGGGCTGCTGCTGCTGCTGGACTGTAAGGCGTCAGGGTTTTTGGCTGGGCCGAGCGGATCTGAGAAAGCTGATTGAGCGCCTAGGCTAAGCCGAGTTGAGGTAGATCCTCGTGGACCCGTTGTGGTACCTTGTTCTAAGTTTGGGAGAGCCACGCTTAGGTTCTCTTCTTTTCTCTCTGTCAGACTGTGGTTCAGTGCAACATTACTGCGCAGTCTCTTTCGCTTTACCAAGACCAACAAGCCTCGATGTGTCTCCAACGCAGATCAGCCAGGCAGACGAGCACCATGGTCCCAGAGACTGACGCAAGTCAAGTGGTTCTCGTTTGTGATATGAATTGATAGATATGGAACGATCTAGGGAGAACATTAGGCATACGTTTAGGACAACCTTCGGCCTTATTCGTTTCCTCGCCGCCGCAAAGAAAGCCGCCGCAAGAAACATGAACCGCCCCAAAAAGTCCAGGCAAATCCCTTTCCAGACACACCACATACCCTTGGATCCCCGCGGTTGGTCGGGGGGCGGATCTGTTTCCCTGCTGCGGGAGAACAGGGATGCTAGCACGACGAGAGCAACACGGCCAATTATAGCCGCATCGCATGGCGCCGGGCGAACGATTCGCGGCCATGGTTCATGGTCCAACCCGAAGTACAGAAAGAGAAGTTGTAAGTTGTGAGTGGCATCGCTGCGGCAGAAACAGCGCCTTATGGGGTACACTCACACGGCTACGGCTACTATTCCCAAACATTTACCCTCTTTTTTCGTTTCTGTTTCTGCTTTTCCTTCCCCAGTCCCGTCCCATCCTCATCCACCACGTCCGCAGCTGGGCGATATGCACACTCCCAACCCATGAATCTTTTGCGCGAGTGTGAGTGGAAAAGGCCAAGGCATCGAGAGATGCCGGCCACTCAGCGGTAGAGATACCCTCTCTGCCTTGCAGTTGCTTCGCTTGCTTCGGCTCGTGCCCTCCTCACGCTGGACAAGGGGTCTGATAGGATTCCTCCCCCTCCATGGCCATGCTTGCTTGCATGGAAGCTCTTGTGAAGCTCTCTCATCTCAATGCGAAAGAAGTAGCCATTGTGTCTCGCAAGGGAAGATTCAGAAACCATGTAATAAAGGGGACCTCTCATCCCTCCTTCTGTCATCCCTTTTCCCCTCACACTCTGATCACCATTCCCCATCATCACCACACGGGCTTTTTATTTAGAGAGGGTCTACGCACAGAGCTGTCTATTCTCGTCCCCGTCATCGAACAAAAAGCTCCGAGCGGAATCAACAGAACAACAACCCCATTCTGCCTGTACTTACACACATAAACATTGGTGATGTCTTCGCTTGGGTGCAGTCGTCCGGAGCATCATTGACCATCCGCACAAACACCCCACACAAACACACCCCTACTTCTGCTCCACGCCCCCCTTCCGCCCACCTTATCCGTCACACTGGCACCACCGGAGACCGGCGCTGGCGTACACTATCGCGGCACCATCTTTTTACTACCTTCTCTCAACTTCTATCCCGCCCCAAAGCTCAGCTACGACTCTCGGATCTAGAAGGGGAAAGGGCAAGCAGAAGAGTCGAGACCCCGGGGCGGGGCCTAAACGGACTACGACTTGGCGACTAGGACTGCATGTTGTTCAAAGTCCCGCTGTCAACAAACAAAACGCTCAGTTCTCTTGCTGCCCGCAACGTCAACATAAGAAGACATGGCACCTGCCATCTCCGACATACTCAGACGAGAAGAAGCAAGAATACAAACAACATTTCAAGCAACAACGACGACAATAGCAATAGCAACAGCATCTCCTTCACACACATCACCAGCACAAACAACATCACCAACAACACCAACACCAATAGACGCAAGCAACGGCATCGGCGGCACACCAGGAAACATTGAATCACCCTCCTCTGCCGGAACAACAACGGTCCTCATCATCGTCATCCTCTGCTGCGCATCCGCCATCATGTCGGCGACGTTATTCTACATCTTTGACCGCAAAAAGAACGCCCAGTTCCGCGAGGCGTGTAAGCGGGACCCCTACCTCACGCGGAAGGAATTCGCCCGCCGGCGCAAGCTCAGCGCCCTGGAGAGGCTGGAAGAAGAGGAGCTGCAGCGGAGCATCATGATTCGCAAGTCGCTTGCGAGTCGTGGGCCGTCGAGGAGTAATAGCTGCGAGGACGTGTTTGATCTCTCTTCTATGCAGGAGCAGCACCACCGCCGCCACCACCACCACCACCAGATGACGGATATGGATATGCCGGAGCCCCCGCGGGGTAGGCAGCAGATGAGGGAGCATCGGGAGGATTTACACCATGGGCGACAAATATCTGGGGAGTGGGCGCCTAGTGAGGGGAGGAGCAGGTCCGTGTCGGAGACTTCGAGTTCGGCTTCGTCTGCGAGGCGGGCTTATACTGGGCCGGGGTGTTCCGGCGTGGATGCCGAGGGGGCCGGGGTCCCGTTGACGCCGGAGTCGACTGGGCCAAGCCGGTCGGTTCTGGATAAGGAGACTGCGCCGCCGCCGATTCACCCGATGGAGGAGATTACGCGACCGTTACCGGCGGTGCCCAGATCTGATGGCACTTCACACTTTTCATGAGGCCAGGACTGGAGTTGGGGTGTGTTGTGGTTACGAGACATGATGAGCGAAATGCCTCTACCTTGAAGAGGACGGGGGCTAAAGGTTTGCCCCGGTGTGTATTCTTGTACCTTCTTTTACCGTACATTTCTTTTGTATTGATACCCACGATCGAATATATGTCAGTATTTCTGACTCAAATTTGGTTTATTTGCAATCAGTGAGAGACCGGCGCGTTACGAAGGAAGGTATTGGTTGACTTACACCTTCCTCGGCGGGCTGGAACATTCGAGATGACAAAAATCGAAAATCGGAGGTTGACAGTAGACCCACTCACCTGATGAGGTAAGCAAGGTGAGGTTGACCGAAATAAGGTTGCCGAGTCCCTCGCACTTGCCTTGTGTCCTGCCTGCTGAGTCATCTCCGAAAACTGCCTGCCTAAGGTCTTCCAGGGTGGTCAAAGTCCTCGTCCGTAATCCGAAACCTCAGCCTCGACTCTCTCCCACTACAACCCACTTCACGTCACTCGCTCGCCGCACGAAAGATCGTCGTCTGCATTCGCCGCAACGAAATCTCGAGAAATCGTCGCATCGACTTTTTTCAGAGCAACTTTGCGACCGTCGTATACGAGTCCTTCGAGCCGCGCGACCCTGGTACATTGCGCCGTACCATCTCAAGCCTTTGTTCGCCACTTCACACGTCTCGGACGCCTTCACTGGTAGAATCGGTCGGCTGGCAAACAAAGCCTTTCTCTCCCTCGTCTCCTCTCCTCCCTCCCCCGCAAAATCGTCTTTCGCGACTTCCGTCAAAGGACAATTTATTTGGTGAGAGAGGATATTCCTGCCGAAAGTCAGGAAGTCATGGCTCACCTTTATCTCTTGAAATAGTTAGGGCATCCCCGAGCGCTTTCGTCATTCTCCCGCTGAACGCCCACCCCGTTCATCAAGAAAACGCCGATCAAGTAGCCTGAGGATTCTCTATCTATATACATTCGCCTACTGCCTCGGCGTGGGATCGAGACTCTACCTCGGTTCCGAAGCAGCTTCTAGCATCGTCCTTTGAGACGATCGTTTATTGAGCGAAGTAGCCGTCGCCCAAAAAACACCGCCAAGCTGCATTCGCCGCTCTTCGTTCAGCTTCATACCGATCTTCTTTGGACAGCGCAAACCAGCGAGCCGACAGAAGAAACCTACCAAGCAGTCGTCAATAAGCGAAAAGAACTCCGGCGGAGAAGAAAGGAGCTCAGACGTCGTCGCAAAGTCTTCGACGAAATCAATAACATCTACACTGCCAAGCCGTACAAGCCCAAGATGCTCGGCCCCAATGGAGCCGCGACGGACGAGAATGCCGAGGGCTTTAAGGATGACCTCAACTGCGTCGTGATGTGTCCCGACTGCAAGGAGTACCCTCCCAACTTGGTTGAGGAGTTTTCCTCTGGCGACATGGTGTGCGGTTCTTGCGGCCTCGTCGTCGGAGACAAGATTATCGACACCCGCTCAGAATGGCGTACATTTGCCAACGACGACCAGGGCAACGACGATCCCTCCCGTGTCGGTGACGCCGTCAACCCCCTGCTCAACGGCTCACAGCTTGAGACCACCATCGCATTCGGTGATGGTAGAGACTCTAAGCAACTTGCCCGTCTCCAGAATAAGTCTCAGAACGACAAGGCTAGCAAATCTCTGATGCAGGCGTACAAGGAGATTGGTGCCTTCTGCGATAGTATCAACCTGGGCAAGAACGTCTCTGATGCGGCCAAGCACATCTTTAAGCTGACGTACGACCACAACTTCATGAAAGGCAAGCCGCAGGAGGCTGTCATCGCAGGCTGCATTTTCATTGCGTGTCGTCAGACTGGTGTCGGCCGTACCTTCCGCGAGATCTTCCAGGTCACCCATGTGTCGAAGAAGGAAATCGGCAGGGTTTTCAAGCAGCTCGAGTCTTTCCTCCAGAAGATCAAGGAGGAGAACCCGCGTGGTGCCGGCTCTCTTTCCAATCTGGACGGCTACAAGGCCAGCGCGTCTACCAGTGCCGAGGACCTCTGCACTCGTTTCTGCTCCAACCTCAACTTCCGCAATGCGCAGAAGATTGAAAACGTCTCGCGCGCGCTCGCACGCAAGACGTCGAGCGTCTCTGAGTTGGCTGGTCGTTCGCCTCTGTCCGTCGCCGCCGCCTGTATCTATATGGCATCTCACCTCATGAAGGAATCGAGAACCTCCAAGGAGATTGCCTCGGTGGCAGGCGTCAGCGACGGCACCATCAAGACAGCCTATCGGTTCTTGTATCAGGCTCGCGATAGACTCATCGAGAAGGAGTGGGGCGCGGACAAGAAGGCAATCGATAATCTTCCGGTTAACTAGAAGGTTTCTGGTCGCCTTTTCAACTGCTTAGACACTGCTCATCCCCAAGGCGAGGCAGAGGAAATGGCCTCCATCAAAGTCGAGGCGGAAGATTTCGGAGAAGACGCGAAACTTTTGACTATCAAATAGGAGTAGGACATCACGTCAAGACGAACTTCTGGAAGCCTCGTGCAGCCGGCTGCATTATTTTGGTCGTTGGCAGCGACTGCGAAACACAAAAATATCCATGGGCGTTTAGGGGTGGTTTCCCTGTGCCCGCCGTCTCAGTCCGTCGATCGGTTCTAGTCACCTGGAATGGTGCAACCTCGAAGCTCTTGGAAGATTAGAGCTGGAGGGTCCGATTGCCGACGAGACAGATTTGCTTTTTTGCTCGCTTGCGTGGTGAGGTTTGGGATGGAGACTCTGGAATTATTAGGACTGGGGTGGCTTAATTGCATAATCATTGCGGACATTCCCAGATTGCTGCTTGGTTTCTTTCTTACCAAGAGGATTCATAGCATAGACAGCACGAATCACAACATGCTTTCAGTCATGAGGTTGCGCTGATATTCCAGTGAGCCTGATATGCTTGACCAGAAATAGTAATGAGACGAGAAACAACAGTGAGGCCATAGAGGTACAGCTTAACAAGGTTCTTCCTGATGAGGCGATTCGTAGATGGGCGTGTATACAGTGTTTAAAAGCCGTGTGATGTATAATTTGCACTCACCCAGCGACCAATCAGATGCCAGCTCAGTCCCCAATGACTTTTTCCGACCACAGGGAAAGCTGAGCCTTGCTTCGCGACGCGACTCCATCTACCAGCGCCGATTGACCATCGTTCAGCCTTGCACTGCACCGAACTTGCGAATTGCGCCCACAAATCTCCATCTCAACTTCACCATCCGCCTTGCGCCCTCGTCACGCGCGCTTCACAATGTCCGGACGTCGTTCTCGGTCCGGCAGGGCTGCCGCCAAGCGCGCCTCTGCTGCGCTACGTAAGTTCAAGCTTTCCCCAACTATTCACCTTTGGTCGCGACTTGGGAGCTGCATAGCCCGTAGTTTGATTCCGTGAATGGCTTGCAACATGACGGAGACGGAACATCTGCTCGAATCTTCTCCCACGGCTCGTTTACTTGTGGGATGCGAGCGCATGGCGCCTCAATGGTTTCCTCCTCGCTTCGCGTACCCCTCCATTCCCAACAGCTACCCCTCGAATAAGTCGCTGTCCCAGCCATGAAAATTGTCAGAAATCACAAGTAAAAGCTGCTTGCTGACTGAATGGCAAATATAGAAAGCACGCCCAGAGCCTTTGAAGGCATCGACGATGACGAGCCCGTCCCCGAAGCTGTCGAGTCCGAGCCCGAGCATGAGGCGCCACCCGAAGAAGACGAAGAGGATGAGGAGGAAGAAGAAGAAGAAGAGAAGGCAAACGAGTCAGGCGATGAAGAGGAAGCCGCCGACGAAGACGGAGAGGAGGAAGAGGAAGAGCAAGCAAACGACGAGGGAGAGGAATCTGAACCTTCAGCCAAAGAACCCACTCCCCCGGCCGAGCCTGTGGTGCGTCGCAAGCGACTAGGACGGCCTCCGAAGAACAAGCCACCGGGCTGGGACAACATGATCACGGTACCCGCATCCGAAGCCGACACTCCGCGACGTAGAGGTCGTGGAGGCTGGCGCGGCCGCGGCGGACGCCGGCCCGCGCCTGGACAAGCACCTCCCAAGCTCAAGCAGGTGATTGACAAGGAGGGCACAGAGGTCGACATTGTCGACGACGAGTGCGTGCTTCCCGAGGACGCGGAAGGCGAGACAAAGGTCGACAAGCTCGGTAATCTCCAGGGCGGCCGCCAGTACCGCTGCAGAACATTCACGGTCAAGGATCGCGGCGAGAGGCAGTACATGTTGTCGACGGAGCCCGCCCGTTGCGTCGGGTTCCGCGACAGTTACTTGTTCTTCAACAAGCACCCGAAGCTGTACAAGATTATCGTGAGCGACGACGAGAAGATGGACATGATTGAGCGGAATATCATTCCCCACTCATACAAGGGCCGTGCGATAGGTATCGTCACGGCGCGATCCGTCTTTGTCGAGTTCGGCGCGAGGATCATTGTGGGAGGTCGGAATATCGTGGACGACTACCGCGTGGCTGACATGCGCGCCTCTGGCATCATCGAGGGACACATTGCGGACCCGTCAGACGTCTTCAACCCCAACGAGCCGTACAACACAAATCAGTATGTCGCGTGGTTCGGTGCCAGTGCCGTGTACCATACCAACCAAACACCGGCTGCTTCGGATCCTCTTGCTGGTTTGACAGAGGTGAAGAAGAAGAGGGTCAACGTGAATGATACGAACTGGCAACTGGAGCACGCTCGTGCTGCTAGGTGGGTTTATACACATCAATCATTACTGTGCCACATACTAACAAAGCTCAGCGAGTTCAACAGTCGTCTTAATGCCATCCGGATGGCAACACTGCGGAACGGCGCATACGACATTCACACCAACCTGATGCAGAAGCCAGTCAACACGCAACCCACTCGCGCCCGCGTCGAGAGGGTCACTCCCGGCGACACAAGCGATTCGAACAGCGCATTCCCCTCGGTACCCTCAGCTGTCCAGCGCAACTTCAACGTGGTGGACATTGTCTACGAAATACCGCGCGCGGGCGTCCAATCCGCCGGAAAGCGACCCGCCGAGGTCCCCGACTTCCTGAAACCCTTCAACGGCATCCTGGCCATCGGCGACGATCTCAAGGCCCTCTTGCCGCCGGAGTGCCGCGAATCCCTCGAGAGGCACCAGGACCAGCAGCGGGAGTTCGAGTCGCGCTTCGGCGACGAGAAGGACAAGATGGCAAGGGGTAACCTGCAGATCGACAAGGCGATTGTGCCGCAGGGCAAGCACTCTTAGAAGGAGCTGATTGCGATCCCCGGCTTCTATCCCGCGCCTGACGGCCGCTTCGCATCGGCGATGGGCAGGCACGAATGCAGCTTTTGCGGTGGTAATGTGAGGGTGTGCGGTCACGGTAGGGAGAGGAGGGCGGTGTTTCATACGAGGCATCTTGGGGCCGTCAGGGCTGAAGCTGTTGCTGCTCGGAAGATGATGAAGTCGGAGTCTTTTCAGGGCAAGATGCCGAATGGACCGTCTTCCCTTTCCAAGATGGCGAGCGCGGGTGTTGAGTCACCCAGGAGGGCGACGAATGGGGTTATCACCCGGGGCGTGAAGCGCTCTTCGGATGGACTTGGTTCAGGTGAGGCTGTGGGGAAGAGGGTTAAGATCCAGTCTGATGTATTCCGCGGTAGCATTTGAATTCGAGGATGAGGAAGTGGAAGCATCGAATGCTTGATGGAAGTTACTGTTTGCTTGTTTTGGGGTGTTTCCCCCGTTGGCCTGGCGTTTCTGGGGGGGAGGTATATGGTGGTGGAATGGTTTCAGGGGTGACCAGCACTACCTAGGAGACTGCGGAAAAACTATTACTGTTGATGTTAATACTGCTCTTTCTTCCTGCTGTCGAAAGGAGAGATTGGGGCAGCAGATTTGGGCGTGGCTTGAGATGAGAGTCGCTTCAGTAAGGGTGTTGAAGAGAGAGGAGAAGTTGTATGTAAGACTAGCATGAATCATGAATAGCTCATAAAGGATTGCCCCAAGTTTACGTTTCTTTTCTTTATTGTGTTTGAGAAGAAAGGCTGAGCTGCTCGGTCCTGTCCCTTGAAATCATTGACTTCTACGGATAACCTAGGTTGATTTAAATGCTTGTGGTCAGGACACCAAAGGTGTCGTTATAGAAAGAGGGGCAGGTTTGTATTAGCCGACACACTAATCTACCCACCCATCTAATTATGAAAGATCCATCTGTGGGTTTATATACCCTCAGCGGGTCTCGACCGTCAACCAACTATCACTGGATGTCAACATCCACACTTCCCCGATAGTCTAGTGGTGAGGATATCTGCTTGTCATTGAGGAACTATTTCCTTACAACGATTCGCAGGGGACCGGGGTTCAATTCCCCGTCGAGGAGTTATCTTTTGCTTTTATGGGTTATTGTGACGATGTGGTGATGTTCTTATTGTGGTTTTAAATTAGTAGTATATTTGTTGGGGGGGGGCGGGGGGCTAAGTAATACCTCCCTGCCGGCAAGACAGAAGAGATATTAGCTAGTTAATTGATAAGTGTGCGGTCGCCCAGATGAATTGTCGTCGTTCATCGACAGATGTGTAATGCCCCTTCTCGTTGTCGATCCTATGCCGACTCGGCGTGCTTCATCTCAACGTCTTCCTATCCTTCGCTTGCACCACTGTCGCTAGGTTTGCCATCCACCTCGAGACTCTCTAAGTCGTTCTTCAGCTTGGTAAGTTTCCAGATGATCACCGTGCCATAGAGATTGGAAAATGCTTCGCAATAGCGCGATAAAGTCCCTCGACATAGACTCTGACTGCGCTCTATTCGTGCTCGTTGGCTAGTTCTTAGAGGGCAGTCGATACCGTCATGGCTAGTGGTAAGGACATGAAGCCGAAGGTCCGGGCGGCTTATTGCTCGATCTGGCAGTGTCTGTCACCTCGGTGGTCGGCACCCGTTTCGTATTCACAAATACAGATGACGAATACGGCACGAGAGGTAAGGTACAAGAGGTAAGGGAAATAGGCAAGAGAAGAGGGGCGAGGCACGATAGGCGAAGCGGTATCAAAGCCGTTAGATTGGACTTGTATGAGAAGCCCTAGTCTTGTATTCAGTAGGAATCCTGGACTATGATCTCGACTGGGAGCTCGCTCGATGACACAAATGTTTTGGGTCGGACGCGCAGGTCTGCTCAGTTTACGACTGATGACATCTAGTATCTCCCGCTCTTGGACCGCCTTTGAATGTCTGAAAGCTCTCTCAAATAGGTCGACAGCGTTCTTCATAAGGCTGCTTGATTACATAGTGAGCTGGCTTGGGCGAATGAAAACGCTCTGTTCTGAGGTTCAAGTGATTTGAGGATCTCAATTCAGCCGTTCTGTTAGATGTCTTTCAAGGCCCAG